ACCCCATTAACCAGCCACAGACCAGAGCATTCCTCCCCAAGCGCCCCTTGACCCCATCCCCTGCATCACCCGTGCTCGATGGCCAGGCGGACAAATCCCTTCCTATTCTTCAGCAGCAAGGTGCAGGATCCCGGCCGGGCATCCAGCGCCTCCTGCGCCCCACCGATGATGATGGCCAGCATGTTCCCACCCTCCAGCTTCTGCAGCACGTAGGATGCGCTCTCCTTGTCGGAGGAGACAAGGCCTGGGGGGCAGAGAGGAAGAAAAAAATGAGCATCTGTAAAACCCACACGGCTGTGGTTTGCTCTGTATCTTTTTTCCCCATCATCCAGCTCCGGAGGGGTGCTGGGCACTTTATTTTCAGAGTTTTCCTACACTTTGGCAATCTCAGCCCAGCTCCTCTGAAAGGTGCTGGATTCATGCATAGCTCCGCTGTGTGAATATACAATTACCCCTTTGCTGTCTCGGGCAGAAGTGAGAAATGGGAAAAAAGATCAGGAAAAAAGTAAACTGAGAACTAGCTGCACACTTAAACCCCGGGGAAAACGTGTTTCAGGTTGTTGTCAAATGAAACCATGTCCAACCCTGAACCATTCCAGAAGTGGTGAAACATTTGCTTTAAGTCAAAACACACACGAATTTCAGTGGATGCTACTAATTTAAAGTGGAATTCAATGCAGAATTTGGTCCCTTGTTGTTATTTACTTACAAAAGTTAGAAACCCTTAATTCAGAAATGACAAAGCAACAGGTTTTTTTTATTTTTTTAAAAAATCCTTGTTTCAGGGGCTGAAATAATTTGCAAATTAAAACCTCTTTGTCAAATGGATTCAATCGACCTGAAAATGAGCTACGCACCGAACTCCCACATTACAGCGATTAAACCTTCTTTCGCTTGGGTCATAACTCTCTCATATCTCACTGTTATGATTCCTCGCTCTCCGTGTAAATATTTTTTCAGCAGCAGGAGCCAGGGCTTACATGGAAAACAGAGTGATGAATGCCCTGGGGTATCTCAGACGGAGCTGGATGCCTATGTTTTGTCTATTGAATCCTGCCTACGACATGAGGCCATTTGGCTGGAGAAGTGGCCATTCCCCAAGACCACCGGTGAGAGATGGAGGGCCCCTCCTGCCGGTCTCCAGAAATCTCTCCAGACTCCCTTTTCCCTCTCTCCATTTAATTCTTACCTATTCCTTTTCATTTCTTCTTGCTCTCCTGCCACGGGGTTTTGCAACAGCGTGAGCTGCTATTTGCATCCTCTCTCCCTGGCTGCTGCTTCCCGGCAAGCAGCAGCAGCTTCGGAAAAATAGGTTTTCTCCTTCTTTCAGTGGCAACCACAGTTTCCAGCCTGAATGTTATTTGCACGGGAAGAAAGAAATACGGTGCCCCCCTGTCCTGCTGGTCTCTACAGACTCAGCGTTTCTGCTCACAATCTGCTCTGCATGGTGCTGTTACACAGCGCCTGGCACGGCGGTGCCCTGAGCTCGGCGGTGGTCTGTGAAGTCGAACAACATGGATAAGAGCTAGAAGGGCAATTTTTAACTTCGGAGAGTTTTTGGATGCCACCTCCAGCTGCTGTGTCCCTGCATGGGTTCAGATCGGGCACAGACGGGGACAAACAGACCCTTGCCTCCTCTTCCCAAGCCTCCCTGGTGTTTTCGCTCTCTGGTTCCCCAAAAAGCATCCGACTCACCCACACATCCCACCGCTTGCCCATGCTGCCGCCCTGCTTACCTGCGCTCATCAGGCAGTCCCTCAAGAAGGGGACACGAAACCACAGGGAGAGCATCATCAGGGGTGGGGGGATGCCTGGCAAGAGCGTGGAGAATCCCGATCCCTCTGTGCAGAAATTGATGAAGGCTCCTGCTGCCAGGATCCCGTGGGGATGAAACCCCACCAGGTAGTTCTGCCTAGGGTCCAGCTCTGCCGTCTTCACCAGCTGGACACAGGGATGGAGCAAAAAATGGGGCCATGAGTTAGTGCTGTCACCTTGGGGGGGATGGAGCATTGGCTATGGAGAGCAGGTAGGAGATTTCTGGAGGGGGGTTCCTAGCACCCGCCGTGCCTTCTGTTGGAAGAGGTCAACTGGAACAACTCAATCATTTTTCACTGAGATGTATTTCCTTGCCTGTATTTCCATCTCCTCCCACCCACTGGCCCAAAATGACATTTCCAGTGGCACAGTTCCTCATGTTGCCCCGAGCTGGCCTAGATGCTGTTGGGAACCTACTTTGTTTAAAATGTCCTCCGATACATTTTCTAATATGGGAGAAAAAGCTAAAAAGTGAGAAAAGGGTGATTATTTCCACCACCACCCCTCCACCCCACAACCAGAACAGCAAAGGGAGTGCAGAATCCCTCTGGCAATGATCCATGTAAAGCTGCTACCTGGCGCAGGGACACGTCCCTGCTCAACAGCGCAGTGTGGACCCAAGGTTTGTCCTGTCCTGAAGTACATGTCGGGTGATTCAAGGATGCTTTCGTACATGGTAAGGTGAGATCCAGCTCCCAGACATCTAACAGAGAACAAGTTGATGGTTTTCTTTCCACTGGGGAAAGCCTGCAAGAACCCAGCCGCCTGTGCCCGTGTTAGGTGTCCAGGTAATCCATCAAAGAGCAATGGGTGTCTGCCCAAGGTTGCTGCAATTTTACCGGGAGGAGGGAATGGGGAATGCCCATGCCCAGCCTTTAGAGATGGACAGCATGGGTTGCAGATACAGTGCAGCCCATGGCCAGCCCTTGAAGGCTGGCTAAGCAGCTAGCTGAAATACTCGGCCAATCTGAAAGTGGGTTTGGAGCCTGGGAGATGCTACATGGGAGAACGGGTGCCACAGCAGAAGAGGGGACGACTAAAGGGAGATAAGGGACAACCAGGGTTTGGACTATGTGCGTTACGCTTGCTGTGGACTGCCCAGAGGAGAGGGGCTGGTGTGACAAACCCGCCCTCCAGCTATGCCACAGAGAAGACCCTGCCCTGCCAACATCAGCCAGCACGTGCATAACCCAGGCAGAAGCAGTCAAAACTGAACGCTGATGCCTCTGCACCCTTTCTGCGCGTGCCAAGGATGCTCACAGCACCGGGGAAGGATGAACCTTTCCAAGGTTAGCCATCACAGAGCCACCATGAATTTCCAAACAGCTCAAAGGCACTTGCGCTCAAGAAGAACCAAAGCCCTGTGCGTTGTAGCGTGTCACCCTTCCGAGTACCCCGGTCCCATCTGCACTCGGGGAGCAGCTAATGGTGCATGTGTTTTCCTAGAAGCAGCCAGAGCCGCAGGTTAATCACGAGGGTGTATTTTACTTTCTTACGTCGTGGCTAATTTCCCATCTGTCCTAAGGCACTGTTGACTGTACACATGTGCCCATTCAAGCGCCTGCTCCTAATGAGGGGAACGGACAAACAAGAGTCCCACCGCTGCCCGGGCGCAGAGGTGCCTAGGCAGGAAGAGGGGCAGATGGCTGAATGACTAAATGCCCAGGGCCCCCTGCCACCATTTGCTCATTTTTGAGTAATCTCAGCTTGCATCAATGTTTCCTGCATTCATCTTCGGCTTCCAAACAGCCTTTCATCCCTGCGTGATTTATAAGCAGGGAGGTGAGATGCTCGGGTGTGTTGGAAACCACTAAATCTTCATCTGTGTGCGGGGCAGCAAGAAGAGGTGGGTGACAGCAGGCTTAACACCTGGCTGCACCCCAAGCTCACACCACCCTCCTTGCTAATGAAGAGCCGAACTCAGGGTATCCACTGAGCTGTGCAAAATGCTTCAACGGGAGAGTTCTCCTGTGCTAAGACACCTCACTTCCTTAAAAACCCTCCCTAGGAGACATCCAGCTGCTGCCTTGGTGCTCACCCCAATGAAAGGGGAGGGAGGACAGGAGAGGAAAGAATGAAAAATAATAGGGCCTGTAGCAATAGGACAATAGTCGTGACCCACCTAGTGGACGAGGGAAAGGCTGTGGATGTGGTCTACCTGGACTTCAGTAAGGCCTTTGACACCGTCTCCCACAGCATTCTCCTAGAGAAGCTGGCGGCTCACGGCTTAGACAGGTG